TAAGTGGGGTCAGTTTTGCAAAATTTCATTCACAAAGACGTGAATATTTTGGGGTATTTTAACACCCCAAAATTAAGAAGTTACTGCTAGTGCTGGATTATCCAGTGTCCCTAAATAACCCCATGAGGCAGATGCAATGCAGGTTATGGCTGAGACAGACAAGTGAGAGAGTTAAGAGGGCTTTAAAGGCTGCAACCTTCACAGCAGCTTGAGGTACCTCCCTTTATAACCACAAGGAAATAGGGTACCTGCATTTCAGCTAAAGCCCAGTGTCCTGGTAAGATCACTGCTTGACCACTCTGACCATGCTCTTAGATACCTTCCAAAATAGAAAACTTCCATTGGCTAGAAGAGATTTATAAATCTCTGAGTTTCAGTCCTAGAAAAGGGTACAAAGACTGAAGGTGCAAACATTATGTTCTCTGTTATGGAATGGGACAGGAGAGTGAAAACAGAGCTGATTTTCCACTTAAATCTCCCTCATGTCTTTTACACCTTTTACAAGTCATTACATCTCAAAGGACCAGAAATATATATACATTTCCAAGACCCATCTTGGGCTGGAAAAATTCAACAGTGCCTTTTCACAGGCTTGAGCCTTCCCATTCAGAGCAGCCTATAATGATTTTTCTGGCAACATTTCACTGACTGTCATTTTGCATAAATGATTGTAATAACAATATGCTACCAATAAAATGTGCCACCAAAACTGCTCTTCTTTTGAGTGCATGTGATTTCTCTGTATTAATGGGAATGTCACACTCACACACACAGAGCAGGGCAGAATGGCCCCTGAAGTGTTTTTACTCAATTTCTCCTGGTGGGTGACTTTGTCCTCATAACCATAATAAAGCAATGGTACTTTATAAAATGCAAAAGGTCTCCTGAAGGTTGACACATGCTGTTATTCTAACCCCCATTTGTGAAATTTCATCCAAATTAGAAAAATCTGGTAACTGAGACATATTCACACAGCAGAATTCTAGATTCTAAAATACAAGCTGTTAACTCTGCCTGGGCACTTTTTTGTTTGTTTTTCTTAAGTAACTTTAGCAGCAAAAGACATAAAGGCAAATTATTTAGAAATATGCTGCTTATTCATCAAGGCAAAGTCATCATTTGGGGAAAAACACCAAGTTTTTTCATTGTTTAGTTAATCCTGTTCTTGAAAATGAGATTCTAGTTTCTCAAATAAGCTCTAAAGTAACTGAAGTGAAAAACAGTACATACTTCATATTTTCAGGTGTAGGATTCTCATTTCTAGACAGCGAGAATCCCTGCAGCCTTAACCACCCTCCTGAACATAACCAATATATTCCAAATTCCAAGGTGAGCACATCCATTCTGAGTTTGTCCAGAATCATTACCCCAGTGCACTGCTGAGAGACACCGTGCTGCAAAAAGCAGTTCTTTAAATGGCATTACTGCAGGTTAGAGGTACTAATTTATCCCAAATATTTGTTACAGGATCGTCTCTATCTTGATAGCTATAGAAGCACTATTGTTATGACAGAAGTCTTAACTGTTCTCTTACCTCAGGGTCTTTTCAGTCTGCAAGCAAACAGTAAGTCTTCAAAGCCATTTTCTATTGTTGTAGGTTTGTTATAAGCTAACCCTTGAGAAAATTTACAGCAAGTGTAAAAAATTCATCCACTCTCTTTAGATCCAGATTTGAACAAAAATCCTTGAAGATAAGACTTAGAGGTAAATGGAAAATGGAAAAAATCTATCATAAATTTAACGGAGTTGTAGGATGCAAGAGAAACCTTGAAGGGGGTTATATTATGATAATTTAATTTCTAGATAAAAAAAAGCCATATATCTAGTTTAATCAATATATTCAAGCATTTATTTTGATACCATAGATATTATCTAGCTGGACAAGACAAGGATGGTGGTAAGGAATGGCTGAGGAGTGAACAGTGGCTCTTCCTGCTCCAAGTGAGACAGAATGGAGCTCCTCATCAGTCAGTCCTGGCAGTGTTCAACACTCCCAAAAACCAGCAAAGGCAGATGCTAAATAGAGCACGTAATTCTGGCAATCTGTGTTCAAAAATATTCACCAAATCTGCAAGGGGGGCTACAAAGACAGGCAGAGGGGAGAAAAGGGGACACGGCCAAGCCACAGTTTTATTCCTACTCAAATGTCACCTGGATGAAAGGAAAAGCATCGGGGTCATCCTGATGAGGGACAAAAAGAACACAGGTAAGAAATAAGATATAGGTTTATGAATCAGTTCAGCTTGGATATTAATATATCATCAGAGAAGTGAGTGTCTGCAATCATCTCTGTTTGAAAATTTATGAAAAGACACTTCTACTTTTAGAGCAGGAGGATGATTCTCTGAACCAGGACAGGAGAGTCCCTGTCCAAACACAACCCTGGGTGTGATGATCCACAGGATTTAGCCTCCAGAGGCTCAACAGGGGCTGCAAAGAGATGGTGAGGATTGCTGCTTACAAAATCTGCTCTTCTAGACTCAATAGTTAAACACAAACTGTTCCAGAGAGAACACACCAAGGATCTGAGGTACAGATCTCTTCCACTGACAGAGCAGCTGGCACAGACTTGAATTCTGCTGTCCCTCAGCAGAAGGGCAGAGCTGGTGTCAGATGCCAGACAACAGCATTGGAAGCAGCAGCAATGCTCCAAAAAGAGGCAGGCACACATCACAGCATCTGAGCAACGAGTCAGAAAAGGCTGTAAATCGACCCAAGAGCCTCTGGAACAAAGCTTCCTTAGGAATATAAAATCTCTGTCATGGCCTGGGCTTCTAGGAAGGCAAGTCATTCATTTGGGCCATATTCCATCATCCCATGCTACCAAATTTATATTGTAGTTTATCCCCTTCCTCAGTGACAGCAAAAGCACCTTCCAGGGGGTTATTTCAGGGCATGTGACATCCTGCACCCCTTTGGGGTAGGACTGAATTAGTGAAGTTCTGGTTTTGTTCTCAATTCCACCACAAATCCAATGTATGGACACTGGAAAGTAACTTAGGGGTTTTTTTTTGTATATAGCTTCAAAAATAGAAAACTTTTCTTTAAAACTCTTTTTTTCCCACCTAGAACATCTCAGCAATGGTTTTAACTAAGCGTCACCTTAGAACACTTAACAAAATAGATAAATAAATTCCAGTTATGGGTCAACACTGTATAAATAGCAAATAAAAAGGATTTTCCCTGATGACACCATGAATATATATGCAGAAAAACAATAGAAATAGTAAAGGTAATTTTGAAATTTAATCAGAAAATCAAAACAATGGAAAAATATTGGGAATGTAGAGCTCATTAGGGCAAGCAGAGTCTATTAACTGTTCAGCTGTCCAAGCACAGAGCAGAAAATCTCGTTTGCTTATCACTGAGTACAATGACCACTATGATCCCAGCTGTAATCACATACAAAATTGAGAGTGACCTAAACCAAGGAAATCAAAACCAAAAAACGCAAGGTCAGATATTTCCACCCCTGACTGTGGTGGAATTAACTGGCTGAATGCTCCCACTCACTCCAGCAAATCAGAAGTTAATAATAATGACCCTGAACAGCTTCCCACTGCTCATGGGATCTTTCCCATACACTAGAGACCTTATGCACAATGACTTACATTAGTACTAGACAGCTTTTTTATTTCCACCTTTCAGTCTATATAAAAATTGGATGTGCATTGTTACTCCAATATTTACAGAAAGCATAAGAATGACTTTTGTCTCTGGGTCAGCAGGAGTTCAACTGCACCACTGCACTTCAGCCTGCTGCAATGTCAGGGGGAACAGACTGGCTACAGCTTCACCTCTACCCTTTATTCTATTTATGAAGACTGATGACAAAAAATTCTAACAGGCAAATAAGAAAAAGAGCATGAATGCATCTACAATAATAGGGAACAATTATGTGTCTCAAAATGTAACTACTTGGAAATTCAGTCTGTCAAGGAACTGGACATTTAATTATTATAATCATTCTAAACAAGAACTAATTGAAACTGAAAATTCACTTTTATCTAGAATTTTGCTTATGAATTTTAAGTCTGTTACCTATTAGGATATAACCAAAGCAATGAAAATCTAAACAAATTACTCCCCTTCCAGTAAGCCTTCCTTATGCAGTACAAGCCTGCTCTCCTTTTTCTGAGGCATCTCAATGAATATTTCTAGCTAATGGCTAAATTCTTTTCCATATCTAGATTCAAAGAGGCAAGGAATATGTATACTTTGCTATTCCCCTAGAGAATGGATTTATTTTAGGACAAGAAAAACTATGCCTGCTTTCAAATTTTATCTCTTCCTCATGCTTTCCTGCCATCACTTATGAATGTAAAGGTTAAACTACCTAGAAATATCTAAGGAAATAAATCTAATTGCACAGCTACAACCAAAGTTTGCCCTACAATAATTGCTACTAATTCTATAAAAGTTCCATCTTTTCACCTTCATACCACCTTGATAGGTACTAAATTACAGTTGAAAATACACTAAGACATAATTTACTAACACGATCCCATCAGTTCATTTGGATCAGCTTTGTATTTTTATGTTGTACTGTATGCAAGAAACACCTCAGAGAAATCCTTAGAATCATATAGGTTGAAAAGACCTTAGAGATCATCTGTACCAGTTCTAATGTCAGCATTTTCTTTCTATGATCCCCTAAGTTACATTCATGACCTAAACTCATTTAAAACAATTTTACATATCTTTGTGTCATTAGGAAAGTCTTATCCTTGGTGCACCACAAGAAGCTCAGGTGTGTTCTTCCACAAGACAGGTCTCAGATCCTCGGGAATCCAAGGTGCATTTCAGGTAGAACCAAATCTCCTTGTGTTTTCTTGTGAAATTACAATGTACCACTGAGCAGCAAAATCCAGGCTGAGGAACTGCAGCCACAGCTGAAATGAGAAGTGCTGTCCTTTTTCCCAACTCCTTTGCAAGTTCAAAGGATGAAGTCAATCATAGCATGACAAAAATGGGTCTCTGTGTAACAGCCAAGGAACAGTCCCACGTGCCATAGTTCTGGGAGTGACCCTCAGGTTCAGCCTTTGCTACCGTGTTACCTATAAAAGAAGAGGAAAGAGTTACTAATATAGAATTGACCAAGAAAAGGATGATATCAGGTGCATTGTTACTGCAAAAGAAGTGTGCACACAAATAGACAATGAATAAACTTGCCCCAGCCACACCTTTAAACCACACAGAGAGGCAGAATCTCTATAGAAATATTAATTACATATTATTTGATAGCATGGGGTGGGATTTGCAGACAAAGAAATGGCAGTTCACCATTAAATTTGCCTCCAACATCTCCTGGCCATCTCCTCTTTTACTTTGCTTCATGCCATTCCCAACACCGATGCCTCCAGCACAAGTGTAGGATTTACATCCCAAAGGACCATTCATGTAAACTGCTGCCCATTCCCAGGGGTCCATCCTGTGGGAGGGAATCAGGGACCAGGCAGCACATGGGGGAATAAATTGTCCTTGCAGCAGAAATCCCCCCCAGCCAGCAGAACTCCCCCAGGACCCTGGAGGGGCTGCAGTGATGTGTTCAAGCCTTGATGCACACCCAGGGCACAAATCCAGCAGCTCTGGCTGCACAGTGAGGAGGGTCCTGCTGGATTTCCTGTCCTGGAAATGGATGAGAACAGGCAGCTGGAAGGAGGAAAGCTTTGTCAGCTCTGCTCTGCAGTGTCTACATGTGTCACAAAACTAAACAGACACTCAGCACAGAGAAGTTTTTATTTCCTTCCCTGAGGGAACTGATGGAAGATGCAAATTCCTCAGCTTTGCACATTTTAACTGTCCCACTCAGACACTAACTATTCATCTAAACACTGAGTAGTGTCAGCAGTCTCCTCTGCTTCAAATATTTTAGTTACACTATTTTTTCTTATTTTCATGGAATGAAAAGATAGAGGACTTAAAGTTGATTAAATAACATTTCCTCCTTCAGTGTATAATTAACCTGTGGAAGCCACTGTCCCAGATAGCACTGATCCCAGGGTCTTAAAAAGCTTTAAAAATTGATTACAAATTTAAATTGTAATGAGATCACCTTTGGTGCATAACACAGAAAAAAAATGAGTATGGAATGGATCTCAACCATTGTGTTTTAGACATAAGGCAACTATTAAATTGGAAAAAATTCATGGATGAATACACTTCTGTAATTGTTCCCAAGGGTTTTGCTGTGATTTGAGCTTCCCATTGCTGAGGCTCACAGGTGGCTGAACAGTCTGGGCTATGGGTCTGACAGTTCAAATAGTCCTCTTTTTGTAAAATTTTAATAACATACCTAAGAAATATTTTTTTTATTGATCTAAGACAATTCTTTGGTTCATTTTCAAAATAAAAATGTATGTTATGCCATACTTCCCTTTTCCCTGTGATGAGGAAACTTGCCTTTCCATTCTAGTTTCCTTACAGCTGTCCAGAGAAAGGAAGAGGCAGCTGCATGAATGAGGATCTGACAATTCAGACATCAGTGCCAACATAAAAGTCTTTGTTCTGCCCCCCACCCCTTGAGCGGTGCCAAAGGCATCAAGGATAATTAACCCTCACTCAAAGGATAATTAACCTGATTCACTCTTCTCCAATGAGGTCCTTTTGGTATAGACTGTCATCTCTCTTCTGGTTTGGCCAGAGATGAAGTTGCCTTGTACAATATCTAGAGCCCCTGTTCACCAGTCTCACCCTTCAGTGTGATGCTACAATGCTACTCCTTATCTACAAATGAGTAGTTAAAAATCAGCTCTGGGAAGAAACTGAAAGGCTGAGGGTAATCTTTATCTTGCAATAACTGAGTGCCAGTTATCCACATTGATTCCAGAGTTTGCAGGCCAAATTCCAGGTGTAGTGTCCACCACAGGAGATCAGCAGGACCCAGGCATGCTACAGACTACATCTTTGGCACTTGATAAATTCATTGGCCATACAATCATAGAAAGGTTTGGGTTGAAAAGGTTCTTTAAGGTCTTCTACTTCCAGCCCCTCTGCCATGAGCAGGGATGCCACTTCCTCTGTGCCACTGTGCAATGTCTATAGATCAGCAGTACCACACCACAGCTGCCCAAAACATCCAATTTCCTCTCATCCATCCAGAAATTAGTGCAGTTTTCACTCCTCAGAGCAGCCTTCACTAAACAACATTTGGTGACAGTATTGCTTATTAACTCAGACTGTAACCTAATGAACAACATTCTTTCCCAGCTAGAAGAGGCTGTAAAGGGAAAAGCTGAGCATATGTCTCTCCTTGCCACTGCCTGCTAAAGACTCCTGGTTTATGATGTATTTAGACAGGCAGTTTGCTGTGACTTGTTGAACTTCAATGCACTGAACCCTTTTTAAATTGCCAAGCAGACAGAGGACACAATATTTTCTCTCCATTAATTAAGAAATAAGATGACATAGCAAAGGTTTGGTTTGAAAAAAAAATATCAGTCCAGCTACAGGGTGGTCTGTAATTAGAAATATTCTGAACCAGCCTAATTTCCAGTGGTGCTCAGTGTGGCACAGTGTCATCACTGCAGGTTCCCAACAACTCCCAAGCCAGACTGGTACTTTCAAAAGGTAAAAGTTTATGTGACAGTGGTAAAGATGTTGGATCCCTGTACTCAGTCTGCAAATTGAAGAATTGGTTCTGGAACATAATTATCCCTGAGCACAATGAAACAGTTTCTTTGGTTCACTACAGACAGAATCAGGACCATTTTCAGTTTGACTGCAGGAGTGAAGGGGCAGTTCTGACCTAATATTTCCTATCTGAAAGCAACGAATTAATCACAGCTTTCCAAAACCTTGAGAAGGCCAAGACTGGTGTTCACATCCCCCAGACACAATGCAATAAGAGCAATCAGCAGACTGGCACCTTTAAATATAGATGATCTCTGTACTTGCCTTTGTGGTTTTGACTTTATTTCCACTGCTGCAAGACCAACCTGAATAGTCTGGTAGTACTTTACAGTCCTCTCCATCCAAACAGGGGTTCATGTGACACCACCACTTCTGCAGGACAATGGAAGCTAGAAAAAAAGAAGCAGGAAAGAGAAACAGTATATTTTTTTATCACTCTTGTGGTTTTTTTTGCAGGGAGATTTTCTATGCCATGTTCAATTAGTTGATTCCAAAAGGTAAAATCAACAATTACTGGTTTAACAGTGAATTACATGGAGTGTGTTTGAGATAAAAAAGTGACTAAACACTTCACCAGCCCTCAGAAGGGTAAATGCCATATCCAAATGGTAAAGAGGCAAGTACCAGCAGAGACTGACTCCAACATTTGAACTGACCTCTGGAAGTGCCTTTCCATCTCCACTGACTACAAAAATTACTTCTCTCCTTCATTTGCATGTTTGTCAAATACCTGCTGAAAGGGGGAATGAAGCTTTGGCTTCTTGTTTAATCCACAGATGCATATGGGAGACTGGACAGAGAAATGCCAGTTTCTTCCTTCACTGGGTGAAAAAATAGAATTGCACAGAGATGTAAACCCAAGAGGTGTGTCAGCAAATACTGCAGGTAAGAATGGAAACCTCTGGCAAGCACTAGAATATTGACTAAAATCCACTTGCAGTCACACTGCCTCTTTTGCAGTATGTTTTGGAAGGCTACAGTTGTACGCCTTAACTGGGCAAATGCATTAACTTTCTACCCTTAAGCCAGTTTCTATTAAGATCATGCCTATTATTTTTAGAAATGTAGTCATGACTTTATAAACCTGCTGTTAACAACAGCACAAACACCTGCATGCATTTCTCAGTTTTGCATTGTTCATGGCACTCATCAAAACCCAGAAAATTATTACGAAATATATCAGTACACAATCCTACATAATCTATATTGGATTTCAAAATAAAATAAGGCTTAAGATGTTGATTCAGCTAGTCTGCATTATACTGCTATGTGCACAAACTATTGAATCACATCCCTTAAAAGATAAGACATTCAGAAGAGATGAACAAAAATAATGGAGTCTACTTCTTGTAAAGCACTTTTTT